TACAGGCGCCCACCACCATGCCCGGCTAATTTTTTGTATTTTTAGTAGAGACAGGGTTTCACCGTGTTAGCCAGGATGGTCTCGATCTCCCGACCTCGTGATCCACCCGCCTCGGCCTCCCAAAGTGCTGGGATTACAGGTGTGAGCCACCGCGCCCAGCCGAGATATCTTTTAAAAATAAAATGTAAATAGACAGTGAGTTTATCAACACAGCAATACACCAGACAGGCCTGGAGGCACGTACTGGGGCAGACAGTGCCCAGGCTGTGCTTTTGGGAGGGCAGCCCAGCAGTCAGGTCAGACACAGGCCCCAAGGAATGTGATGGGATGGGAGCAAGGGGAGGTGTCTTAAGAAAGGCACCAACACAGCGCCCAGGGCCAGAAGATATGTCCACATTCAAATCCCTAGAGCCTGTGAATGGGACCTTATATGGAAAACGGGTCTTTGCAGATATAGTTAAATTAAGGATCTTGAGATGAGATCATCTGGGTTACGCGGGTGGGCCCCAGATCCAGTGATCGGTGCCCTTGTAAGAGACAAGAAGAGGCTATGTCTAGCCTAACACAAAGGGGTCATGGAGGAGAGGGTTGGGTGGAACATGGGGGCTGCCTGGGCCTACCTTTTCATGAGTGGTTTCTGGAGAGAGCTTGGGGTGGGTGCCAGACCCCGGGGGGAGTGGGTAGCACTGCTGGGCTCACTGTGGCTTTGAGAAGCCCAGCCTTTAACTGACCCTCAGGGACACTAAAATTACTCGAGGTTTTCAATCAGTTTAAATTCCTTTACTTGTGGGATTCTCTTCGGTTTGCCGGCCTCCGATTGAGTGTAAATCTGCATGCGATATTTTTCAGAATGTGTTGTTCACTATCACAATGGGCCTCCTAAATCTCAAGATTTCCTGATTTGTATGTGCTTTTATTTTTACTTTTTTGTTTTATAAAAATGCATCTTCCTCAGATGATTGGATTAGAGATGGTTTTTAAACGTTTCATAGGAAGTCCCATGTCCATTCTTTCTTGAGCATTTCTGAACATCTGCATCTTTGACTCCAGTTTCCTAGTAGAGCCGGCATCTCTGTGGCAGGGCTTCCTGGTGCCCTCGGGAGCCCAGGGATGGGCTCATCTGAGACCAGCCTGCTCTCCTGTATGGTGGCTTAGCCTGAGTTGGGTTTGGCAGGGGTGTCCGGGTCAATGGGGAGCAGCAGCTCGGGGAGAAAAGTGTGCATATGTGCTTGGCACTGGGGTCTTTCTAACAGGTGTGACACATGCTGTCCCATCCTGTGGAAGGACCCTCCCTCTCTGCCCTGGAGAGACCGTCTTGGCCTTTGACTTGCCTCCTCCCAGCCCCGTCCATCCCACATCCCAGACCTCACCCTAGAGCCAGAGTGCAGACTGTTGCCTAGCAACCTCCACAGGGGCGGCCTCGTCTTTCAGGTATCTCAGAGTCTAAGAGTTCCTTAAAAACCCTTTGTCCAATATATACACCTATAATTTGTCCATATACATTTTTTTTTTTTTTTTTTTTGAGACAGAGTCTCACTCTGTTGACCAGGCTGGAGTGCAATGGTGCGATCTCGGCTCACTGCAACCTCCACCTCCCGGGTTCAAGCAATTCTGGTTGGTACCTCAGCCTCCCGAGTAGCTGGGATTACGAGCATGTGCCACCACACCCAGCTAATTTTTGTATTTTTTGTAGAGAAAGGGTTTCGCCATCATGGCCAAGCTGGTCTCGAACTCCTGGCCTCAGGCGATCCGCCTGCCTCAGCCTCCCAGAGTGTTGGGATTACAGGCGTGAGCCACCATGCCCGTCCAGAAGTCAGACCTTTCTCAACACTGCTTTTTCTCACCGGATAAAGATAAAACCCACACAGGATCTCCTGGGCAGACACCTGTGTAAACTAGCCTGGCGTGCATACCCACCCTCTGCCCCCAAGGCCTTCTGGTCAGGGACAAGACCTCATGTGTTCCCTGCCCAGGACAGCTGGCACTCAGAAAGGGTAGCTCATTCCTACCTAACGAGCCCCAGGCTGTTGAACACGCCAGCCCACTGGGCCACGAAATGACTGGGACTCATTTCAGGTGAAGACGGGTCCTTTCTAGGTCTGGCCTTAGGCAAGTAATGTTTCTCAGCAGCCAAAAAAGCTGGTGGGATGAAGGGTGGTCCTGACCCAGAAGTTGATACCTGGGGTCTCATAAGTGTCCAATGTCACTTCTTTTCTTTTCCTTCTCTTCTTTTCTCTTCTCTTCTTTTTTCTTTTGAGACAGAGTTTTGCTCTTGTTGCCCAGGTTGGAGAGGAATGGCACAATCTCAGCTCACTGCAAACTTCACCTCCCTGGTTCAAGTGATTCTCCTGCCTCAGCCTCCCAAGTAGCTGAGACTACAGGCACCTGCCACCACGCCTGGCTAATTTTTGTATTTTTGGTAGAGAGGGGTTTCGCCATGTTGGCCAGGCTGGTCTCAAACTCCTGACCTCAGGTGATCCACCCCCCTCAGCCTCCCAAAGTGCTGGGATTACAGGCATGAGTCACTGTGCCCAGCCCCAGTGTCATTTCCAAGGCTTTAATGTGCCTGTGGGTCACGGTTGCTAAATTGTGTCACCACAAATCATATGTTGAGGTCCTGACCCTGAGTGCCCCAGAATGTCACTGAATGTAAAGAAAGGGTCTTTAAAGAAGTAATTAAGTTAAAATAAGGTCATTAGGGTAGGCTGGTGTCTTTACAAGAAGAGGAGGTTAGGACAGACACACACAGAGGAACAACCCTGTGAGGACACGGGGGAAGGCGGCATCTACAAGCCCAGCAGAGAGGCCTCAGGAAGAGCCAGCCTGCTGAC